TATATATATATATATACTTATCTACAATAATTCTGAGAAACGTGGACACACAGATGATGACATTTCATGCCTTGCTCCTTGGGCACGCACAGTCTCAACCCATCTCCAGGCATATAATGCATGGTGGTTTTAAGATGGTAGCCTGGACTGAAGTTCTTTGAGCAATAAAATTTAGAGAAACAGCTTAGATAATGCTCAGAACGTGGCCTGGCAGCCTGCCATGCATGAGCATGCACTGAAACCAGAGTTCGTGCCAAGATTCTTAGCTTTCAACTTCACAGAAATTCCTCGTATAGTTTATATTAAATATCGTCCCAAGTTCATATAACTTTTTTCTTCCTTTCTGCAGTTTAATTCACAGCTAGTTGAACTTATTACCTTTTTATAGATAAGCATTAATAATATAATAGTTCTAAGTCCAAGTAGAAGTAATAGAATTAGTCTGTTCATATAATTTTGATTAAAGACAGGCCTAGCACTAAGAGGGCACTTATTCCATGTCTCCTGTACCAAAACTCTGTGAACACAATGATAAGCTGCTCTGTGACCTATTACAATTACCTGTATGGCTACTCACATAATAAATGTTTTCTGAGACTTAAAAGAATTTACTTCATATTCAGGTGTCAAATTTGCTCAGAAGGTCCTCTTAAGCCAAAGGATCTCTCTCAACAGACTTATCAAAAGATCAAGGCCTTAATATTTCTGTTAATGATATCAAAAGGTCTGATTTGAGTCTCATATCCCTGATAGACTGATAGAATCATTTCAGTTGGAAAAGACCTAGAAGATCATCAAGGCCAACCATTAATCCAACACTGCCAAGTCCACTCCCACTGGTAGGCTCAGGCCACTGATGGTTTACATGCTCAGTGCACACCTAGGATTATGGCAATCGGCTCTAAGCCGCATTCAAAGAGAAGATGTATAAGCAAGATCCTGCAAGCTTCAGCCAGGAAAAAAAATTACCCTGTCAGCTCATGGACAGACACAAGCAAAGAGAAGTTCTGAGGGTCCCTGAACTGTCTGTTTTCCCAAGCCTGAAATCTGTGCAAAGGAAATAGCTGCAGGTCCTTCCAACCTTGTTTATTTTTCTTTTTCTAGCAATAATTATGCTGATTTAGATACTTACTAAACTAGACCTAGTGAGTTACTCAAGCAAATAGAAGCTACGTTCAATATTGGATTACGTGAATAATACAACTGGGAGGAAGAGAAATACTATTTTCCCCAGCTATAAAACACGACTTAAGACAGAACTAGGATTTTGTCAATGGTCACATAGAAAGCCCATGGCAGACTTGGAAAATGGCATGGAAGACAGGCAGGAATATCAAGTTCAGATTGTACCGAAAGCTTATTGATACATTAGACATTACACCATTATTGATACTGGACAACATACGAGATTTTCAACAGCATGTGCTTCACAACAGATCAGTCACACGAGTCTTCCCATACATCTACAGGTTCTGCTCTTCTTAAAAATGGTGCACTTGAATGTTCTACAAATTGTATTCAAATCATGTGAAAAGACTATATTATAAAATGTTGTTTTAAACAGATCTTGAGGCCTTTTGAAAGCATTGACAGGTCATCATTTCACACTATTAAATTCAGACATACTTAAAAATTTAGCCTGATTATGTGGATGTAATGCAGACATCAAATGAGGTGTACTCTGTGCTCTCTTTTCACAGAAGAGTAATGACTGCTGGGCCATTAAGTGCAACTACCATGCTGTCTTCACCCAAAAGAAATATGGGTCATAGCAAAAAAAAAGATCAATAGCTGTCTTCTCAAATCAGGCCATATTGGACCACAGCTCAATAAGGCTGGCCAACCAATTGATTTTGAACAGAAGAACTGAAAAAGTTTAGAGAAGACCAATTTAAATTTTATATTCAATTATATATCATCGGTAAAAAAAACCTATCAAGTACTGCAACATTATGACAGATTTACAGGCACATATGCGTGCACAGCTGTTTATGCTGCATGCACGTACAGAATTTAAAGTGGCCACATCCAAACCAGTCAAATCTCAGCTCCATGTGCACAAGTGTTTCTTCTACTGTACATAAAGACACAGTTATGTAAATATTTGTGCATTTATATAACACAAGAAAAATTCAGAAAGCTACTGAAAGTAATTATGATAATGACTGCAACCTTGCTTCTGCTGATTTACAGGGCATGAACTAAGCCTTCCACTCCGTAGTAGCTGTAGTGTCAGACCCAAGAAGGATTTAACTGAAACACCACTTCTATACTTCAGCATCCTGTGCAAAGCCTGCATCAAGAACCTCATCTAGTAATGATATATGGGTATGTATAACTACAGTTTGGGAACTAGAGGAAGATGTGAAAATAGTTTCCCTGCAATTCAACAATTATGAATGAAATGCTAGTCTGCCCCATGCACAGCAACTAATGCCGGTATGCTGCCTCTCACCAAGCAGTCTTTTAACAAATGTTTTAACAATCTATCTCCAAAAACATAGCCATGAAGCAAGGACCAAATTCCTTCTAATGGCATGCAAGAAGCATGCTGCCTCTGTTATACCTATTACCTTGGCAGCAACTCTACCCATGCATGCCTTCATCCGTGGACACAGAACCTCTCAGAAGATTATGGTACAATAAATTACTTTGGTTGAAGGCAAGTTATTATGAGCTTAATTACATGTGCAAGCTTTTTATATTTTCATTTTGGAAAAAGCTTAGCAGGAGGTTATTGGTAGTCTTTGTTAATTTGACCCATAAAATGCTTAATGGATAATCATATGCATTGGTAACATGCTAGCTCTGAAGTAATTAAATAGAACCATTAAGATGGCTGGGTAGAAAGATACCTAAACTTTACATCAACTTTATACCATTTGCTTTTGCTTGGTAGAGAACTGGTCCTACAGGAAGAATTATTTTATGGGTAAAGAGTTTTGAAGCTTTACAGTTTTTGTTAGTATTTTCACAAAGTCTAAAAAAGCATTTTCAGTTCTGAAACCTTAAAACATGAAAAAGGTGATCTTCACAAACATCTTCCACAGGAAGAGGAATCATTTCTCTGACAATTGCACTTGGGAGATTGGAGGAAGGGGATGAGAAGTTGCAAGGACTCCAGGCTTCAAAAAAGAAGAACTTCAAGCTCAAGAACTGCAATTAATACAAGGCCTCCTTTTGGAAGAAGACTACTGAATGATGTCCCTTGCTATAAATCTGTTCCTTGCCATAAATCTGTCCCTAGTTAAAAGTGGTTCCAGATTAATTTGTCAGGCCTTCATTCAATGTACCATTTTCAAGTGCTACTGAATTCAAGTTGTATGTAGAAATTAACAAGTGAAATCCTTAACCTGCACTCCCCAGGAGTCTAAACCAGATATTGACAAAGATTCCCTTGCAGCCTCACAAAAATCTATGAAACCATATTAACTGAAAAATCCCCTTAATAAAATAGTAGTTAATGTACAAGCAAAGGCTTTTCCTATTATACAAGAACTTAAACCATCCCAGTAGGTGGATGTCATCTCATCAACTGCACACAAATAACATCCTCATATATCTGGTGATACCATTCTTAAGGCCCTACTTTGTTATACGGAGATTCAGAGCAGCACGATTTCTCAGACAGAGATGACTACAACTACAGAAGAATATAGAGAGAATAAGCTAGGCAGAGATAAGTCACATTTAATTGTAATTCTCTGACTTCTTTGCAAAGTAAGATACATTGACCACAGAAACAAACGTATAACACCAGAGCTTCCTAAGCAAACAAATTCTTACAGAGTAGCACTAGCAGGACTGCTGGCGAGCTCTACTCTTCCCTTTCACACAGCCACACTGCAGCCACAGTGCACAAATCCCATGCAATAAAAACCACTTAACCTCAACGTGCTGATGATTAACGTTAACAGTTACGTTTACCTTACCCAGCCGTCGGCAGACTGAAGCCGGGTTTTCTGTCTCTGTGCTCTAAGGCAGCTTTTCAGCTTAGAGACAACACATACCTCACCAGGAGCTCCGTGTTATATTTGCCGTAAGCACTGCATTTCCCTTCCTCCAGTCACTGACTTAACGCATACAACTGTATTCAAGCTAGGGGAATTCAAGAATTCATTTTAAGCTCAAGAAAGTGATCTAGTTTGTACAGACACAAGTCATAACAAATCTTGAAGTTGCTCCTATTTCCCAGACCGAAAAAAAACCCGAGTCAAAGCATTGTTTCCTCCAACCTTATACCAGCGTCAAAGATCTCCATGAGCAGAATTGGCAATAAAATGTTTACCACCAGATCTGTGGGCAAAACCAGCTTCACTGTTTACCACCCTGTGGCTTGAAGCGGTAACTATTCCCTTCTTAAACACACAGTGTTTCATCATTTTACATTTAAGTACCTTCTTTAGCAGCAAGCACAGAAACTTCGCTCAAAGTTCCTCCTCAAAAGAAAATTGGAGGACATATGCTCTCAGTGAGACTGATAAGAGCCCAAACTGCCCCTGTCCATGGGGTAATCGAGAACGTTTGGTTTCCAAATAGCTCTGAACATCCTTCATACAAGCAGCAAAAGGTTGCCCAAGCCGCAGCCCTCTACCCACCGCTTCTAAAAGCCAGCAGCCACCCGTCGAAATGATGCTGCGCTCAAACGGAAAGGACAAGAAGCATGCAGTAAACGAAGAAGTACTTACATCCCTGAATTTGTTCCAGTACTTGTCTCTATCGTACTGCGAAACGGTGCTCAGCCATTTGTCGTTGTCCAGGAAATTGCCATGATTGCTGTTACTCGTGATGATTTCAGGATGCCGGCTCTCCACTTGCAGGAAGCACCAGGCAGCAATCACCAGCACCCCCGACATCTGCAAGGAGAGGAGCGGAGCGGGCAGGGAAGTTCGGAGCGGACCCAAGCTGAAGCTCGTCTCCCCTAACGCCCCTCGCCAACTTCTGCCTGCGGAGCTGCCCAGACCCGCCCAGCCCGGAGGGGCGGGGAGCAGCAACACCGGTACAACAGTAAACGTAAAACGGGTCACCTGCGGCCAGTCAGAGGGAAACGCCGCGCTGCGAAACCCCAGCGCAGCCTTCCCGGCCAGCGCTGCCTGCGCGAAGTTTGGCTGCGAGGGCGGAGAAGCAGCCCTTACCTCCGGCAAGCGCCGCTCGGCCGCGGCTGCGGGCACCGT